GTTTGGGAGTCCTTTTCTTTTTGTAGGATGATTCAGGATTTTTTTCTTTTTTTAGGTCAGTTCAAATTTTTTTGTTTTTTTGTATGTTGGGTTCAGATTCTTTTCTTTTTGTAGGTTGTTTCAGTTTTGTTGCTTCAGAGTCTTCTTTTTTTGTAGGTCAGTTTTAGATTTATTTTGTTGTTTTGGTTTCTTTTTCATTAGACGCCTCATAATTCTTTTCTTTTATGTATGTCAGACATTCTGGAGTTCTCTTTCTTTTTTTGTAGGAATGTTGACCTTTGGTGACTTTGACGATTGCAGATGGGGTTTTTGTTTCCAATCTTTTTTTTCGTTCTTTTAGGTTGTTTGACTACAAATGAACCTGAACTTATAGATAATTTAGGTTGCAATAGGTGGTTTTAATAAAGAGGGAATTTTCATAATGTATTTGTACTTTGTTTATTTTTTATTTTTTATTTAATTTAATAAAGTAAAATTAGATTTATGTAAATACAATTATAGTAAACTGTAATACAAATAGTAAATTCAGTGACCAAATCGTATAAATTTCGTGATAAATCAGTGATCAAATCGTGTAAATTCCATATAAATCCCGTGCAAATTCCGTATCCAAACCATATTTTTGGTGATACGGAATTGTGCATTTTTCCGTATCCTATTATGATACGTTATTTCTAAGGAAAAAAAAATCGTATAAAAACTTTATAAAAAACGTATCCAATTTTTTTATAGGGAAGCAAAAATTAAAAAATCTGTTTTGCTATGTGATGATTTACATGAATTATACACTATGGAGAAACTTGATTATCTTCGGCCTGAAATAGATGAAATAGATGTAAATACAAGGTGGAATTCCACCTATTATATGCTTTGTAAATTACAACGGATTGAACAGCATTGAAATGCTTGCAATTAAACATGAAGGTGTGCGTAATTTAATGCCAAATGCTGAAGCATGGATTTAAATAAAGGTATTTTTGTTTATTGATTTAGTTTATATAAAAAATTTGAACAAATGAATAAATATTAAATGCTTTAATTGTTAATAAATTAATTATATAAGGATACGATAATCGTTTCGGAACCCCTTGCAAGAGCAACAAAAAAGTCTTTCAGGTTCGATGCATCCAACAATTGCTGGCGAAGGTTTTGTATATGAAAATTTTTCAGTGACTCATTATGATTATATTTATTTTATTGAATATTTATTATAATTCTAATTAATCTTATCATTATTATATGTGCGAAAGTGTGTGTAATAAATGGAATTTCTCGTTAGAAATGTAATTATGGTGGATGAGATTTTTTATTTGACATCACAATTGGGCTGGTAGAAAGGTTCCCAATAGTCAGATTATGAAAATTTATTTATTACATTACTGTATTTATTAAATATCAAAATTATATAAAATCATTATCTCTTAATGCATAATTAAATAAATATCATTTAAAATAAATTTTCTTTTTTGTTTTAAAATTTACTCAATTTAAAATTGCATAATAGACTTTTCAAGATTATTATTGATTTACGTATATACAATAAAATTTCGTATGAAATACCTTACATTTCTTTCATTTACCATATTTACTAGACAAGGTTCATTTTAAAATTTTTATTCCAAACTAATTTATTTTTATATATAATTTGGCAATGATTTTTCTATTATAGGTTTATCTATTTATTTTTTTGAAAAAAAAAAAATATATGATCTACATTACCGATTACTTCGCATTTTTCATTTTAACCATTTCGGGTTAGATTTATTTTTTATGATGATCAGCTGCTGCGAATTTTCTTTGTTACAAAAAATAGTAATTTTTGTATACAATAGTAGTACAAATAGTAATACAAATAAGTAATACAAATGTGCGAACTTCGTTCAATTCATAATAATTTTTTTCTTTTCCCATAATAATTCTGAAATTTATTTTGAGTAACGTAGTTATTTATTTATATAACTAAAATTAAATTATAAATCCACAACTCAATTAATATGGATGAAAAGCCAAAAGATTTATGGAAGTATGATTATAAATCTCAGGTAATAGCAATTTAATATATTTTTAATAATTATGTTTTTTTATTGAATTTTTGTAGTTAAAAATATTAATAATTTTTTGTCTATTAAAAGCATCATGTTACAATTCCTACTATTGATTCAACTATTGAATCGGAAAATGTAGATGAAAGAGTAGTTTATATAGAAGATTTAGAAAAAAGAAAACAAGCGTATGGAATATGTGGAGAATGTAAAGAACCTGGCACAGGAAGAGATTGGTGTCAATCTTGTAATGCTAAAAGATTTAAAGATAACTTTAAAAATTGGACAAGTGGAAATAAAGTTATTGATGAATTTATACAGCAATCACAACTTAATGCTGTACATCATAAAAAATATCTTGAATGGATACCTTATGAAAAATTTCAAAATATCATTTATATTGCGGAGGGTGGTTTTGGTAAGATTTATTCAGCTGAATGGCCTGAAGGATTTATTTTTTATTGGGATATTAAAAATCAAAAGTGGTATAGACATAGTTGGAATAAATATGCATTAAAAAGTTTGAATAATTCTTCTGATATATGTACAGACTTTTTAAATGAGGTAATTTAAACTTATTTTGTCTTATATATAAGGATTGTTATTTGCATTTATTTATTAATAAAATTTTTCCTTTTTGATGATATCATAATTAGATTAAATCTCATCTTCAGATTTATCTTGAAGATATTGTTCAATGTTTTGGAATTACTCAAGATCCAAATAATAAAGAGTATATGATGGTTATAAAATATTATGATGATGGAAATTTGAGAAATTATTTAAATAAATCTAAAAATTTTATATATTTTAATTTAAAAAATGATCAATTACGACAAATTGCAAGAGGACTTTTAGATATTCATAATGCTGAAAGAGTTCACAAAGATTTTCATTCAGGCAATATATTATTTGAAATTGCTCCATATATAAGTGATTTAGGAATGTGTCAACCAGCAAATACAAAGCAAACAGTTAAAGAAGAAGGAATTTATGGAGTATTACCATATATGGCACCAGAAGTTTTACGTGGACAACAATATAC